GGGGGGCTATTCGGCCGCACCCCTGTCGAGGACGCACCCAGGTGGGCTATTCGGACGCCCCCCCCCCCCGAGGTCTGGACCCCTGCCTTCGCAGGCGATTCCTCGCCCCGAACCCCTGGCTTGTCGGCGACAAGTGGGGCCGCGCAGAGAAGGGGGGGAAGTCGTGGGCCCCCTCCAGGGGGGCTATTCGGCCGCACCCCTGTCGAGGACGCACCCAGGTGGGCTATTCGGACGCACCCCCCCCCCGAGGTCTGGACCCCTGCCTTCGCAGGCGATTCCTCGCCCCGAACCCCTGGCTTGTCGGCGACAAGTGGGGCCGCGCAGAGAAGGGGGGGAAGTCGTGGGCCCCCTCCAGGGGGGCTATTCGGCCGCACCCCTGTCGAGGACGCACCCAGGTGGGCTATTCGGACGCACCCCCCCCCCGAGGTCTGGACCCCTGCCTTCGCAGGCGATTCCTCGCCCCGAACCCCTGGCTTGTCGGCGACAAGTGGGGCCGCGCAGAGAAGGGGGGGAAGTCGTGGGCCCCCTCCAGGGGGGCTATTCGGCCGCACCCCTGTCGAGGACGCACCCAGGTGGGCTATTCGGACGCACCCCCCCCCCGAGGTCTGGACCCCTGCCTTCGCAGGCGATTCCTCGCCCCGAACCCCTGGCTTGTCGGCGACAAGTGGGGCCGCGCAGAGAAGGGGGGGAAGTCGTGGGCCCCCTCCAGGGGGGCTATTCGGACGCACCCCTGTCGAGGACGCACGCCCCCCTCGGTAAATCCCAGGGTTGGGCCTCAAGCTTATGGCCCGTTCGAGAACCCCACGAGGCCTGGGAGAGGGCTCGACACCACAGTCGGCCCTGATTAGTAGGGCGACCCTGCCACATCAAAGGTACCCTTAGGTACCCCTTGTGTCCTGCGCCTCGCGACCCCTGCCTCCTACACCCCCCATGGCAGCGTGGCCCTCGGAAGGGTCTTGTGTCCTCTCGCGTGTCCTGTGCACTCCAGGCCGACTGCATTCCCTGGTATCCCCGCGGGGCCGGCTCTTCGTCGCGAGTCGTCGCGTTCGCGGCCCCGTGGGCCCGGCGAGGGCACCCCCGCGGCCGAAGTTTGGGGGAGAGGCTCTCGCAGATCGGGCTCTGCTCGAGGCGGCGGAGGTCTGGGGGTCGCGGAGGCGGCTCCCCCAGGCGGAGGAGGAGGAGGAGGCGGAGGAGGGGGAGGAGGAGGAGGAGGAGGAGGAGGAGGAGGAGGAGGGAGGAGGAGGTGAGGAGGAGGCTCCTCTGCCTGCCGCCTCCTCGAAGCCGGCCGCCCGAGGCCACAACAGATTCGGCGGCCACCCGCCCGCCGTCACGGCCTGACCTGGGGGGGGGGGCCGGCGCTCGACCTAGACGGCGTTTTGGCGATTCTGTGGGCCGTTTTCGGTGCGGTTTCGTTCTGCAGCAGAGGTCGGACGAAGACAAAATTGGGGAGAAGATTACGAAACAAAGCGGAGACGGCAGACGCTGTTTAGATGGAGCCCTGCTTGGGGCCGCTGTCGGCGTCGGGTGCCGTCCCAGAGGTGCCCCTGGCCAGAGGCAGGGCCGCCTGCGGTCCGATTCGATGCGATTCGATTCGCTGGCTGGGCCAGCGATTCTCTTCGCTTCGCTTCGACATCGGCATTCGATTCGATTCGCTTCGATCCGCCAGCATCGGCCAGGGCCAGTCGGAGTCAGGCGCGGCGGTCCGCTTTCGATTCGATTAGGGACGATTGGCTGGCGATCCGATCCGTTTCCGATCCGATCCGATTTCGCGACTCGATCCAGCTCAGGCCATCCAGCTGAGGACCTCCATGGGCCCCCCACGGCCTCCAGAGCACCCCTCACGCGGCCCAGAGGGCCCCAGGAGCTCCAGAGTGGATCGAGGAGCTGAGAAGCTGGGGGCATCTCGGGCCAGGGCCACCTGTGACAGCACCCGGCCTAGGATGGCAGAGGACGAGGACGAAGTCGGCGAGGACACCGACGAGGACACGGCGGCGAGGGCGACAAGGACGAAGCAAGCGACGACGACGACGACGACGAGTGCGGCGGCGGCGGTGGCGACGACGACGACGACGACGACGACGACGACGACGACGACGACGACGACGAAGGCGACGGCGGTGGCGGCGGTGGCGACGGCGGCGGCGACGCCGGCGGCTGCGAGGGAGGGCGAGGCCACGCGCCGGGCTGGCGTCAGGGGCGGTGGCGCCTGCCCGTGGAGCCGGGGCATGCCCCCCACATTTCGGCCAGGACAAGCGCGGCCAGGCGACACGCGGCCAGGCTGGCCTCGGCTGAACTCGGCCCAGCTGAACTCGGCCCGGGCCGAGTTCAGCCTGGCCGGGGCCAGCTGGCCGAGTTTTGCCTGGCTGGGTTTCGCCTGGCCGAGTCTTTTCCTTGTCCGGGGGCGGGGGCGTCACGCAGCAGCGCCCCCCGGGAGATGATCCAGTGCGCTGGGTTTCAGGCCTGCTCGTGTCAGGCGAGCGCAAACATGGATCACGGGGGCGTGGATTAGCGACGGGTCCCGTTTCCATGGGAAGTCGCGGATTTCTGCTGCCGAACGAGGCGGCACGGGCCGCATTTTGGGGAGGGCACCTCCCCCGATCCATGGATTTGGCGACCGCATGGATTTGGCGACCGCGCGCCAAATCCATGGATCGCTAATCCATGTTTGCGCGCCCCCGATCGTGGTCTTCTCCACAATCTTTCCCAGCGGCATTCGGCTAATTCTCGCTCCTCCCCGGTGTTTTTCTTGTAGTCGTCATCCTGCGTCATCTACGTCCAGTCGAGTCTGATTGTGGTTCGGCCCTGCCGAAACAAGGGCGCCCTTGTGCCCTGTGTATGGCGTCGCCTGTCCTCTGCATTCCTGGGGCAATGCGGCCCTCGGAAAGGTTTCGTGTCCTCTTTACGTGTCTTCTCTCATCAAACTCGGCTGTATTGTCGATTCTGCCTAGGCGCGGGGAGCTTCATTTTCTGCCGCGCAGGCGGCAAAGTGGTGATTTCACTTCCGCCTTTTCGAGCCCAGCTCGTCTGGCCCCAGGGGCGCTCGGCACTGGGCTGACCCGTGAGATGGGATGGACAGTACCCCCTGTCGTTGTCGTCTGGTTGAGGGATGTGCCTCTCTCCTGCTCCGCCCGCTCGATTCCGCCCCCGGCCCGAGCTTGGCACTACTCTCCTTCATCTCGTGCCGTGCACCTCCTCCTCCTCCTCCTCCTCCTCCTCCTCCTCCTCCATAGTGCTCTCCGTAACTTCCCCCCTCGGCTTCCCAGCTGCAGAATTCACCGCCTTGCTCGACTCGGGTCACTCTCTGCTCCCTTCCTCGCTCTCCTCCATCTCCTCCTCCCTCTGGGGCTGGGGCTGGTGGCTGTGTCAGGGTGTCCTCGTCCCTCTCCTCATCCTCGCCCCTCCTCCTCTTGCTCCTCCTGGTCCTCCTCCTCCTCCTCCTCCTCCTCCTCCTCCTCCTCCTCCTCCTCCTCCTCCTCCCCTTCGTCCTACCTCCCTCCCCCCTCGTTCCCTGCCTGGGGACCGCTTCCCGTGCTGCCAGCAGGACACCCCAGCCCCGCCCTGGAGATGGGGGGCCCTCGCTCTTCGCTCGAGGGCCTCTTAGGCAAGGCTCAGTCAAACGCTGAGAATGAGGAGCAGCATGGGCTCGGAAGGGGCCGAGCTGCTTCTCAGGTCCTTCCCGTGGCTGCTCCTATGGCGCCCTCCGTGCACCCGGGCGGATTCTTGGGGGCCAGAAAGGGGCCTCGTTCCATAGCCAGCGTTCCTCACGCTGGCAGTTTGACTCCATCCCTCGTTCCACTCAACCGCAGCCTGGCACGCAACCGTCACGCGGTACTGCGATGCCCTCTGAGGCTGTTTTTCGTGCTCATGTGCGTTTTTGCACTCAGCTTCTCTCTCTCTCTCTCTCTCCTCGTTCCACTCCCCCCCGCCACGCCCCTGGCGAGACGGGGAGGTGTGGCGGTTCAACGGCAACGACCCGAGCGTGCAGACGAACGGCAAGGCGATAGAGGACGCCCTCGCCGGCTCGCCGACGCTGCCACGCGCGCCCCGTCGTCGTCGCCGCCGCCGCCGCCGCCGCCGTCGTTGCCGTCGTCGTGAATACAAGGGCTCCCACGAGGGCGCGAAGTTATTCGCGGTTCGCGCTTCGCGGTCCTCGTTCCTTCTCCCCCTCCTCCTCGTCCTCCGTTTCTCCCTTTGGGGGGGCGGCGCGAGAGCGCGAAGTTATTCGCGCTTCGCGCAGCGCGAAGCGCGAAGTTGGGAGCCCTAGTTAATATCGTTCGGTCGATGTTCGAGGTTCGAAACGTTTGTTCGCCACTTTCGGCCTTTGGCCTTTTGGGAGCCCGCTGCAGGCCAACTGGGCCGTCAAGCGTTGACGCGGGACGAAAGCTGCCCGAGGTGGACACCCAGAGGGGGCCAGGGATTTATGTTTGGCGGCTTTCGGCAGTCGCCGCCGCCGCCGTCGTCGTCGCCGCCGTCGCTGCCGTCATCGTCGTTGGCCCCGCTGCAGTCGTCATCGTTGCCTGCCGTCACCATCGTCAGTGTCCTCGTGATGGGCTCCCTGCTCCTCGTCCTCCACTTCTCCTCCTCTTCCTGCTCGCCACTCCGCTACCCCTTGCATGGTGCTGTCTGGGTCTGCGTGCCCGCTCTGGCCGTCACACGAAGCCACCTTCCAGAACACACGCTTCACTGCATGTGGTGCTGTCCTGGGTCTGCGCGCATGATCTGTCCAGCACGCTCAACCACATTCCAGAATCTACGCTCCAATGCACATGGTGCTGTCTGGGTCTGCGTGCCTGATCTTACCGCATAAATAATGATATCTAGAGCATACGCTTCAATGCACAGGCAAACAGCAAAGGGAAGGAATGGATCGAGACGGTGCGATGATGCTATTGATGATGACGGCGCTCTCTATGACGACGATGACAACGATCATACAGGTAACGGCAACGAGTATGACGATGATGATGATATTGCGGATGTTGATGTTGATGTCGGTGATGCTGGTGATGGTGATGATGATGCTGCTGATGCTGATGATGATGGTGGCGATGTCGATGACGATGACGATGACCACGATGATGTTGCTGCTGATGATGCTGATGATGATGCTGCTGATGATGATGATGATGTGGATGCGGATGCGGATGCTGTTGTTGATATTGTTGATGCTGATGTTGATTAGGATGATGATTGCAAATTCTAGACGCTTCGCGTATCCCCACCAGCCCGTCCAGAAATGAGTCCCAGGGGAGTGGAGGTTATGAGGGAAGCGGGGGAGCATGCAGAAGAACAGAGGGCGGGGTGAGCCGCCATATACCCCAAGAGGGGGAGGATGTAGGAGGAGCCGTCGTCGTCGGAGTAGGAGGAGGAAGAGGAGGAGCAGGAGGAGGAGCAGGAGGAGGAGCAGGAGGAGGAGGAGGATAAGGAGGAGGAGATGGAGGACTGCGAGGACGAGGAGGACGAGAAGGAGGAAAAGGAAAAGGAGGAGGAGGAGGAGGAGGAGGAGGGGGAGGGGGAGGAGGGAGGAGGAAGAGAAAAGAGGAGGAGGAGGACAATGGCGAGCTTGGGGGCCTCTTGGGCCGTCTTTGGGGCCTCTTGGCGGTCCCGGGGGCCTCTTGCGTATCTCGGGGAGCCTCTTGTGGCCTCTTGGGGGTCTCTTGGGGGCCTCTTGGAGGCTTCTTGGGGGCCTCTTGGGGCTTCTTGGGGCCCTCTTGGGGCGCTCTTGGGGCGCTCTTGGGAGCCTTCGAGGCGCTCTTGGGGCCATCTTGGATGAGATCTATCAAAAAAGGGGGGGTTGCTTATTAGCCTTGCCCCTCTAGAGTGCCTCGAGTCGCCTCTTGGGCCCCCCCAAGAGGCCAAAATCCTTCCAAAACCTAGCTAAAATCAATGTTTTGTGCTTTCTCGCGTTTTCGCTCTTGGAGCCGTCTTGGGCCGTCTTGGGAGCCTCTTGGGCCTCTTGGGGGTCTCTTGGGAGCCTTTTGGAGGCTTCTTGGGCGCCTCTTGGGGCCTCTTGGGGCGCTCTTGGGGCGCTCTTGGGGCGCTCTTGGGAGCCTTCGGGGCGCTCTTGGGGCCATCTTGGAGGAGATCGATCAAAGAAGAGGGGGTCCCCAATTAGCGTTGCCCCTCTAGAGTGCCTCGAGTCGCCTCTTGGGCCCCCCAAGAGGCCAAAATCCTTCCAAAACCTACGTAAAATCAATGTTTTTTGCTTTCTCGCCTTTTCGCTCTTGGAACCGTCTTGGGCCATCTTGGACTCTCTTGGGGCCTCTTGGGGGTCTCTTGGCAGCCTCTTGGAGGCTTCTTGGGGGCCTCTTGGGGTCTCTTGGGGCCCTCTTGGGGCGCTCTTGGGGCGCTCTTGGGAGCCTTCGGGGCGCTCTTGGGGCCATCTTGGAGGAGATCTATCAAAGAAGGGGGGGTCCCCAATTAGCCTCGCCCCTCTAGAGTGCCTCGGATCGCCTCTTGGGCCCCCCCAAGAGGCCAAAATCCTTCCAAAACCTAAGGAAAATCAATGTTTTGTGTTTTCTCGCCTTTTCGCTCTTGGTCAGCCAGGAAAATCAATGTTTTGTGCTTTCTCGCCTTTTCGCTCTTGGAGCAGTCTTGGGCCATCTTGGGCGTCCCAACGCGTCGCGGAACGCCCCGTCCAGGTCAGTGGGGAGGGGTAAGGGGAGGGGTAAACCCCTCCCCGAAGGGAAAGAAGGGGGGTTGGCAGAGGAAACTCTCTAGACCACCTACGCCCTAAAGGGCTGGTGGGATTGGAACACATACACTACCAATGGCGCGTTGTTTTTCAATCCCACAACTTTTTAAGGGTCAGGGACGACGTCGGGGTGGTGTTCTGTATACTGTTTCCCGTTTTCCAGGGAAACAGGGAAACTTGTATACACAAGGATCCCGCATACACCATAATCCGCGTTCCTGTGCGAATGTCAGCGCAGGGTCGGGAAACGCGTCGATGTATAGAGTTCGTTTCCCTAGATGATGCTGATGCTGATGCTGCTGCTGATGATGCTGCTACTGCTGATGCTGATGTTGATGCTGATGCTGCTGCTGATGATGCTGCTGCTGATGATGCTAATAATGCTGATGATGAGTTTGATGCTGATGCTGATGATGCTGATGCTGATGCTGATGCTGTTGATGCTGATGCTGATGATGTTGTTGATGATGACGATGGGGATGGTGCTGATGCTGCTGCTGATGATGCTGATGTTGCTTGTGATGGTGTTGATGCTGATGATGACGATGCCGATGACGATGCTGATGATGACGATGATGATGATGATGATGATGATGATGATGATGATGATGATGATGCTGCTGATGATGATGATGATGCTGATGCTGATGCTGATGATGATGCTGCTGATGCTGATGATGCTGATGATGATGATGATGATGATGATGATGATGACGATGAGGACCACCTCGCTCTCTTCCTCTCCTCCTCTCTCTCTCTCTTTCCACATGTTTTAGAAGAGGCCACGCTGGAGGCACTGGGGGCGGGGCGCCCGCTCGCGGGCGGCAGAAACCGCGGCGGCCCCCGCCCACGGTGCTCCTGGGCAGACCTGCTCGTCCAGTCAGGAGGGGGGCGGGGGAGAGAAGCTTGGCATCGCTCGGACGTGTGCATTCCTTACGGCGAAGGCCAGGGAGGAGCACCCTGGATCATCGGGCAACGAAGAGCATGCGCGGGAGAAGGCGGGACGAGGGGGGGAGGGAGGAGAGGAGGGGGGAGAGGAGGAGGAGGAGGAGGGAGGAGGGGGGGAGGGAGGGGAGGAGGGAGGAGAGGAGGAGAGGAGGAGGAGAGGAGGGGGGGAGGGGGGAGAGGAGGGAGGAGGAGCTCGCTCCCCGTCCTCCATCTCCCTCCACCGCTCCCCCCCCCTCATCCTGCCCTCACCTTTCCACCGACTCTTGTGGGCACCAGGAAACTCAGAGGAAACACCCTACCCCCACCAGCCTCCCCCACCCCTCGGTTTCCGTTCTCCGCCTTTCTTACTCCCCCACACCCTCAGCGTCCCTCCCCGTCCACCCTGATCCCAATCGGCATCCCTCTCAGGCCCCCTCACCGTCATCGCCGTCGCCGCCGCCGCCGCCGCCGTCGTCGTCGTCGTCGTCGTTGTCGTCGTTGTCGTCGTTGTCGTCGTCGTCGTCGTTGTCGTCGTTGTCGTCGTGGTCGTGATCGTGGTCGTGGTCGTGGCCTCTCTTGTCGTGGTCGTCGTCGTCGTCGTCGTCGTGGTGGTGGTGATCGCCGTCGCCGCCGAGAGGAGCTGCTGCAGATCACCACTCTGCCCACCGCCGCCTGCCAGGTGCGCGCGCGCGCTCCGGGGCTTTGGGGCTGCGTGCTGGCCCCCTTCGGGAAGGACGACAGGGGGAGTGAGGAGGAGAATGAGGAGGAGGAGAAGGAAGATGATGAGGAGGAGGAGGAGGAGAAGAAGGAGGCGAAAAGTAGGAGGAGGAGGACGAGGACGACGAGCCGAAGGAGGCGGAGGAGCAGTAACATGAGGACCAGGATGACCAGGAGGACCAGGAGCAGGAGGAGGAGGAGGAGGAGGGGGAGGAGGAGGAGGATGAGGAGGACGAGGAGGACGCAGCAGCGGGGCAGGAGAGGAGGAGGCAGGAGGAGGGGAAGAGGAGGAAGAGGAGGAGAGGAGGAGGAGGAGGGAGGAGGAGGAGGAGGAGGAGGAGGGGGCAGGAGGAGGAGGAGGAGGAGGGAGGAGGGGAGCAGGAGGTGGAGGGGGAGGAAGAGGAAGAGGGGGATGATGATGATGAGGAGGAGGAGGTGGAGGAGGAGGAGGAGGAGGAGGAGAGGATGAGTTGGAGGAGGAGGAGGAGAAGGAGGAGGAGGAGGAGGAGGAGGAGGAGGAGGAGGAGGAGAGGAGCAGGAGCAGAGAGGAGCAGGAGCAGGAGGAGGAGGAGGAGGAGGAGGAGGAGGAGAGGAGGAGGAGGAGGAGGAGGAGGGTTGGAGGGAGGAGGAGGAGCCAAAGGCGGAGGAGCTGGAGCAGGAGGAGCAAGAACAGGAAGAGGAGGAGGAGGAGGAGGAGGAGGAGGAGGAGGAGGAGGAGGAAGGAAGATGAGAAACGAGGAGGAGGAGGAGGAGGAGGAGGGATGGACAGCAGCAGCGGGGCAGGAGGACGAGGACGAGGAGGAGGGGGAGGAGGAGGAGGAGGAGGAGGAGGAGGAGGAGAGGAGAAGGAGGGAGGAGGAGGAAGGAGGACGAGGAGGAGGAGGGAGGAGGAGAGGAGGAGGAGGAGGAGGATGAGGAGGAGGAGGAGGAGTTGGACAGTGATCGTCTTGCGCGCGCCGGCGTCGCGCGGGTGGTCGCCGCCGTCGTCACCATTCGGCCCCGAGGCAATTCTCGACAAAGAAAACGGCTTCATGAGCGCACACGTTTAGGATACCATAGTGTTTCGTTTGCTGTTTCGGGGGGATTCAGGGCCAATTGGGATGTGCGACCTGCCGCGTGATCGTGGGCTGTGAACTGGCCTGGATTTGTTGGGGGCGGAGGTTGGGCCTCGATCGGCTGAAAATAGCCACTTTCTGCTCGCAGCGGGTTGGCTCGACCCGCGGGCGGTGACCAGCGCAGAGCCTCAATTCTTTTTTTGCATAATGTCGATTGAAGTCAAATGTCACAATATTTCGCATGCGGTTTGTCCTCATTCGGTGCGGGGCCCACCCTCTGTCATTCCCCGTTCCTCTCCGCGCCCCCCCTCCTCATCCGCCGTCGTTCCTCCTCGTCCCTGATCCACCATCCCTCCTTCTGCTCCTCCTCCTCCTCCTCCTCCTCCTCTTCCTCCTCCTCCTCCTCCTCCTCCTCTTACCCTCGAGCTTGGAGGGCAGAGTGGGAGGAGAAAAAGGTGGAGGAGGTGGAGGATGTGGAGGAGGAGGAGGAGTTTGATCGTGCTAGCGCGCACCCTTAGCTCCTGGGTTTTTACTTTTTATCTGTCCTTGTGATTTGTACGAGCTTTTGGATCTGTGCGTGCATCCGTGCACCCCAGGAGGAGGCGCAGAGTTGCCCGTGGCATTGCACAACATTCGGTGTTGACAAGCGTCCAGGCGTGTCACGCCCCGTCGATGGGTGTGACGCGCCCCCTTGCGACCGCAGCATCAGTGGCAGAGCCCACTGCGGCGCGGCGCCGCCTCCGTGGTAGAATCTATTGCGGCGCGCGGCGAGGGAGCAGAGTACGGGCCTGACACCCCTGGACGCAACGCCACCGTCGCACCCAACACGCGCAACGTAGCGCGCCAAATGAGGGTGGGTGGGGAGAACGCACAAGGCAGCGGGCCCGCCCGTCCTGCATATGCCTTAGTCGCCTGCGCGGCGCCGCGGCCCGCGCGCGCGCGCCCCGTCGGGCCGCGCGCGCACCTGCGAGCCCCGCCTGCGCAGCGAATGGTCCGCGCCCGCGCGCGGACCTGCCAAGACCGCGCGCGCGCTCGCGCCTGCCAGACGATCCGCGTGCACCTGCAGGGCGCGTGCCGCGCGAAAGCGCCTGCCGACCCCGCGCTGATTCCCGCTGCCCCCCTTTATGAATGGTGCCCGCGAGCGAGCGAGCTCGTGCGCCCACCAGAACAAAGGCGCGGCATCTCCGCAACAGTGTGGGCTGCCGCGAAGACGTGGGCAAACCCTGCCGGAGGCAGGTGCGGGCTCGGCCCGCCCTGCGCAGTGTTGTGCACGTAGCCACGGGGAAGGGACTAACGTTCAAGGTGGCCCTCTGCGGGTCAGCGGGTTCGCCACGGCCGCGGCTGGCCTTCGGCGCAGGAGGACGAGAGTGGGACGAAGGAGGAGGAGGAGGAGGCGGGGGACACAAAGGAAGAGGAGGAGGACACAAAGGAGGAGGAGGAGGAGGAGGAGGAGGAGGAATGATAGGATGGATGAGCAGGAGGAGGGGAGGATAAATGATGATGAAAACCATGATGATGATGCTGATGATGATGATGATGCTGATGCTGATGATGATGATGACGACTATGATGGTTCTGATGCGGATGCTGGTGATAATGCTGATGGTGATGCTGATGGTGATGCTGGTGCTGATGCTGATCCTGATGATGATGATGATGATGATGATGATGATGATGATGATGATGATGAACATGATGAACATGATGAACATGATGAACATGATGATGATGATGATGATGATGATGATGATGGTGATGGTGATGGTGGTGATGATGATGATGATGATGATGATGATGATGATGATGATGATGATGATGATGATGATGATGATGATGATGATGATGATGATGATGATGATGGTGCTGATGATGAGGAGGAGAAGGCGGGGAGGAGAAGGAGGTGAATGGGAAGAAACTGGGAGGAGGAGGAACTGGGAGGAGGAGGAGCAGGAAGAGGAGGAGGAGGAGGAGGAGGAGGAAGAGGAGGAGGAGGGGGAGGAGGAACAGCAGGAGGAGGGCGGAGCAGGAGGAGGAGCAGGAGGAGGAGGAGCAGGATGTGGAGCACCACCACGTCAACACCGCACAGCGGCAGTGCTGGTGACATGTTTTCAACACACAAAAGTATAAGTTTCACGTGGATACGGTCCGCACACATACGAATGCGCAGTTTGGCATCGACTTCACTTCGAAGCCGTGGATCGGGCCGCGTGGCGCTGCTGCAAAGAGCGACGCCAACGGCAAGCAGTTGGCCTCCGTAGCACGCGGGCTCGACATAGTTGTGGTCAACTCACACTACGACGCTGGACCGACATATAGAGCATAGATATGCCAAGACAAGCGCACCGACTACGTCATGATGAAGCTTGCATGCAGCGACTGCGCGCAGCACTGCTATGCGGATAACGACTTCGACAACGGCTTTAAGCCCCGCGACCGCAGCCCTGCCATCACGGAGGTCAGGTTCGCACCGACTGCCCCAACACCCAAATTTATGAGGATATATCTTTATGCAGAGCCAAATGTGCCGACGAGGATGCGAATATCAAGTACAGTGAGGCCTTCAACATACCTGAACTCACGTGGGACGACGACGTTAACAAACACTCTCAGAATATCGCCAAAGGGATCGCAGACGCATCGTCGAGAACCTTCGCTAAGGACCCGCTGTCCCCAGCCCAACCCCACGTGTCCCTGCAATCGATGCGACTCACCCTGGTAAGACGGAACGCGAAGCGCGAGATGCGCCTATGGAAGACGGCTGGCGACAATTGCAAGAACCTGATGGCTTACCTGCCGCACGAAGAGCAGCGACTGCACCCCGAAGGTATGCCAGGACGACAGGAGACGCTGCGACTCGCTCTCGCCATGGGCACGTTGGCCGACAGTGCCATCAATGTCACGGAAGCGGCGGCGGAGGTAGACGTGTATTTGAGGGCGACGGCGAAGAACCTCCGCGCTTCCTTGGACGAGGACAAGACGCTGCGCCAAGAGCGGTGCGCGTATCAGCTCATCGAAGCGTTGCAGAACACAGGCAGCCAGAACGAATGAAGATGGTTGAAGAAGATCCTGAAGTTCGGGGGCGGTCAGCAAGGCATATTCAAAGACGGCAACGTTATACCGTGCCGCATAGACGAGAATAACAACGTGACCGGCGACGAGCAGAAGCTAGCAGCAGCCCAGATCAGACACCACGCCAAGATGGAGGACGCGGTGGTGGGGGACCGCGTGTCCGTGGCCAGAAGATACGATCAGTTCGACATCAGCGTGCTGGAAGACGCACGTCAACAATATCGAGAGAACACGCAGACCCCGCTGGACACGGACGTGAGCCCGCGGCGGTTCAAGCGCGGCTGCGCACCAGGGGGCGACGGCATCGCGAACGAAGTGTCGGCCACCGAGCCACGCCGACGCGCTGAAGAGCTCCGCCCGCTGCTGACCAAGACCAGCCTGCAGATGCAGGAGCCCTCGGCAGTCAAGCACGCCATCCTAGCCGAGATCGGCAAGGGCAAGTGCGACGCATTGCGTCAAGATGCGCGCAGATGCATCGCGCGATGCAGCGCCATCGCGCATCTCCACTACAAGCTCATGCGCAGCATGCTGAAACAGGTGGCGGCCATACATTACCCAGACTCGCAGGTTGGAGGCCGCGAGGGGAGGAGGGCCGCGCTGGCGATCCACCGCGCCCGTTGCCTACGACGCCTTGCCGAGCGAGCCAAACGTAAACTTTCGCAGTTGTCCGTTGACCTGGGGGTCGCCTTCGGTCGAGTCGCGAGACAGCTACTAGCTACTGGCGCTGATCCCACTGCGCGAGCGCGACGGCGACGGCATGTGGGCGAAGCCGACATCCCCGACATCCTCCGCCTCATCTCGAGCAGCGTCCTCGCGGGGTCTGGCCTGCTGCAGAAGC